AAGCCACAGGCATGAGTCTGCAGGAGCGGACAGGGCATTGTGGACATTGCTCATTCATATGGTCTCTAGAAGTTGGAGCCACTCAACAGCATGTAATACATACATCAAACACACAGCAAAGCCCAGCCAGTGTGGCTCAATGGTTGAATGTCAACCTATGATTCAGGAGGTCATGATTTGATTCTTTTTAAAATATATATATATACATATTATTGATTTTTTACAGAGAGGAAGAGAGAGGGATAGAGAGTCAGAAACATCGATGAGAAACATCAATCAGCTGCATCCTGCACACTTCCCACTGGGGATGTGCCTGCAACCAAGGTACATGCCCTTGACCAAAATCAAACCTGGGATCCCTCAGGCCACAGGCTGACACACTATCCACTGAGCCAAACCTGTTAGGGCCATGGTTTGATTCTTGATCAGGGCACATACTCAATTCACAGTAGGGGGCCTGAAGGAGGCATCTGATCAATGATTCTCTCTCATCATTGATGTCTCTCTCTCTTCCTTTCCTTTCCTCTCTCTGAAATAAATAAAACATTTAAAAAACAAAAACAAAAACAAAACACAGCCAAGCCCTAACCGGTTTAGCTCAGTGGATAGAGCGTCGGCCTGCGGACTGAAGGGTCTTAGGTTTGATTCTGGTCAAGGGCATGTACCTTGGTTGTGGGCACATCCCCAATGGAGGGTGTGGAGGAGGCAGCTGATTGATGTTTCTCTGTCATCGATGTTTCTAACTCTCTCTCCCTCTCCCTTCCTCTCTGTAAAAAAATCAATAAGAAAAAAAAAAGCACAGCCAAAAGTGCTCTGGCAGAGTAACTCAGTTGGTTAAAGGGTCATCCCAATACACCTAGGTTGTATGTTCGATCTCTGGTCAGGGCACATACAAGAAGCAACCAATGAGTGCATATATAAGTGAAACAACAAATCAATGTTTCTCTCTCCCTCTCCCTCCCTTCTTCTCTCTCTTTCTCTTTCTCAAATCAATAACAAAAAAAGAAAACACAGCAAAACGTAGACACTAGTTGCCTCTGGAGAGGGGAACTGGGTGGCTGGGAAATAAACTTACTGTTCACCGTATATTCCTTTGTACTTGTTGAATTTTGAGCTCTGGACATATAATAATTCACTCAGGACAGAAATTAAATTATTACAAAGCTAAGCAGCGAGAGGCAATAGGGAGAATGGGGAGAAATGCATTTCAGAGAGCTGACATGTCCCCTGGAGCAGGGCAGCCCGGCGGCGCTGGTGTGGGCCCCATCCTGACGGTCCTGGCTTCTGTCCACTTCCACACGGTGCTCTGTGCCGAGTCCACATGGAGGGCGATCGTCAGTAGCTGACCTTCTCCTGTGGAACTGGTGTGTCTCCTCAGAAAAGCTGTTGAGGACACGGCTTATTTTATCACGCCAGCGTCTCCTTTGTGAAGTCCCCGAGGGGGCCTATGGTCTGTCATGCTCCCAAGAACAGTTGGTTTGCGTTTCCTTTTTGGACACTGCATTATGGAAATGAGCAGCTGCTGGGAAGCACTAATGTGGTCCATCCACAGGGGCCTCCCAGGGTGGTCACTTTCAGTTTCATTCCCGTCTCTTCAACTCTCCACCATTGTTCCTCTTCTTTTGCTCTGATGTTGGATGCATGATTTCCTGTTGTGTCCCCTATATTCCTGCAACCTCTCTTAAACTATTACTGGAAATAAACTATTCCTGGAATAGTAAGCTCCTAAAAAATAGAGAACTCTGAAACTCTTCAGAAAATAAGCTCTTTTTCTAGAACTTTTCCCTTCCTTCCTTCCTTCCTTCCTTCCTTCCTTCCTTCCTTCCTTCCTTCCTTCTTTCTTTCTTTCTTTCTTTCTTTCTTTCTTTCTTTCTTTCTTTCTTTCTTTCTTTCTTTCTTTCTTTCTTTCTTTCTTTCTTTCTTTCTTTCTTTCTTTCTGACAAAATGGAAAAGTCGTTTTTCCATTTAGTTCTGGGCATTTGTAACCCAGTGGTCCTCAGCCAGCAGGGAGGGAGCAGGAGTGATTTTGCCTCTCAGAGGACTTCTGTGTGTGGAGACATGTTTGGTTACTGTCAGATCGAGTGGGCGGAGGCCAGGGAGGCTGTGAAACATCCTGCAGTGAGCAGACAGCCCCGCGACAAAGAGCTGTCTGACCCAGCATGGCTGTGGTTGGGAACCCTGGTCTAGCCATACTTCATATGACCTTCTGTGAAGCATTAGTGTATTTTAATGTTCCTAACTTAATAATGTGACTTTAAATCTGAAAAGGACACTATGTATTTTAAATAGACTTAAAATGTCTCCTGCTTTTATATCACTACCCTCCTTCTTTACCCCATGCTTCCCTCCCCTACTCCATGGCTTCGATGACTCTGGAGATTTTTTGTCCCTTGCTTAGGTGCTAGTGAGACTCTGCTTATCTGCCCCTCTTAGCTGGGGCTAAGTTGCCCTTAACTTGGACCCTTTGCCTCTATTTATATTAATGAGAGAGAGACAGAGAGAGAGAGATCTGTAGTCCCACTTATTTATGCATTCATTGGTTGCTTCTTGTATGTGCATGGGCCAGAGATGGAACCCATTCAGAGATGGTGTATTGGGTTGACACTCTAACCAACTGGGACACCCTGCCAGGGCCTGTCCTTACTCTGAAGTGGGTGGAACAGGGTGAGAAGGGACTGTCGGGAAGGTGATGGGACAGGGGGAGGCCAAAGCGCAGCCACAGGTCCTGGACTGGGGGTAAGAAGGCCTGGGTCTTCCCACCACGTCACTTTGGGCAGAACCTAAGCCCAGGGGCTGCCCTGGCAGGCTCCTGTCAGAACCATTTGCAGAGGCGGGCAGCTCCGCAGAGCCCAGCAGACAGACCGCTGAGGCTGACTCACTGCATTCAACCAGGGCCATGTGTCCTGTCCAAACCCTGCCTCAGGGCTGGCCTCTGTCTGGCCCAGGTCCCAAAGGCCTGCCAGGGGAAGGGCTGTGCTGACTCAGACAATCTAGTGGAGGGACTTTGCAGTCCCCAGGCCCTTACTTAGCTGGGTCTCTGGCAGAGCCCCACCTGTGGGGAGTGTCTGAAGGGAGTGTGTGAAGAAATGTCAGTCTTTCAGAAGCGGCTGACAAGTCTCCAGCTAGCTTTTCCAGCTCAGCATTCCAGGGACATAGATTTTAGTCGTAAGGTGCGGCACCGTGGGAGTTTCGGATGGAAAGGCTGGTGTTGGTCCAGCTGCTTTAGCTTGGCGGGAGTCGAGCTCAAGCTCAAATCTCTGCTCAGTTTTCACCCAGCTCTCCCTTTTCCTGGGGTCCTTGGAGATGTTCCGTGAAGAGCTCAGCAATCAGCCTAGGGCAGTGGTTGGCAAACTGCGGCTCGAGAGCCACATGTGGCTCTTTGGCCCCTTGAGTGTGATCTTCTACAAAATACCACGGCCTGGGAGAGTCTATTTTGAAGAAGTGGCATTAGAAGAAGTTTAAGTTTAAAAAATTTGGCTCTCAAAAGAAATTTCAATTGTTGTACTGTTGACATTTGGCTCTGATGACTAATGAGTTTGCCTACCACTGGCCTAGGGTTTGAGGGGAGTTAGTATGTGGATTCGAAGGCTTCCCTCTCTGTGGCTCCTTTTCTGCAGGAAGCCCACCTCCCACTTTCTGTGGCTCTGGAGCCCCAGACTCTGTCCTTGGACTCTTCAAGCCAACAAAGGCTGTCCCTTGTCCTTTAGACAAAGGAGTGCCCTGGAAAAAACCCATTTCAATGCAGTTGGCTCCTTTCATTCACGTGTGGTGTCTTTTCGGTTTCTGCTGCTTTGGGCACTTTGCAGTGCTTTCAAGTCATTGTTTTGTACATTTTGTCCAGAGTTTATAATTCTTGCCCTTGTTGGGAGATTCATCAAAGATCTCCTGCTCTGCCATTACTGGCCATCTTCTCACTTTTAACTTACCTCTATGCAACGTGTGTCACTTTTATCCCTGCATCTATCGCTTGCTGAGGTGGGGAAGAGGATGCCGCCATCAGGGCTGAAGTGTCGTGTCGAGTGTAAGTGTAGGTGGAGCGTAGCACACTGGCATCCCTGGGGTGGGCTTCACAGAGGGGTCTTGGCCAGTTAGGCTGGGAAGGCTGGGCGGGACGTGGGTGAGCAGACGGGAGTAAAGACTGTGGCAGCTGGGACACTGCTGGGCTAAGGGCAGAGACAGGCATGAACGTGGTGTGAGGGACAGTGCTCCAACCAACCTCAGCCTGGCTGTTGGGGGGATGGGGAGGTAAGGGGTGGGGGTCTGATCAGGAAAGGTAGACTCTCCGGGCAGACTCAATGTGGAGAAACAGAGGCAGCGGATGCTTTCGACGGTACCCTTCCACGAGGGCTGTGCACTAAGGTGCTCCCAGGACATTCCCCATTCCCCGTCCCTCCCTGCAGCCCGAGGCTGGATCCAGGCTGGTCCAGAGCCTCAGGTCTCTGGAGAGGGAGACTTAGGGGCAACTTCCACCAAGGGGCAGATGGGATGCAGACACCTAAAAGGACGGGGTGGTGCCAGCAGCTAAACCGAGTGGGTGCCCTTGAGATGGCCAATCAAAGGGAAAATGAAAGCGTGGTAGAAGCCCTGGCTGGTGGGCTCAGTTGATTGGGCATTGTCCTGGGCACCGAAAGGTTGCCAGGGTTTCGGGCTCAATTGCCAGTGGAGAGTGTACAGGAGGCAGCCAATGGATGTTTCACTCTCCTATAAATAATTCTCTCTCTTTCCCTTCCCCTCTCTCTCTAAAAATCAATAAAAAAAATTTTTTTTAAAGTGATGTAAGTATCTTTACTAAATATGGGCCAGCATCTCCTAGGCTCCGTGAGCTGACTCTTGTTCATCCCAGTCCCCGGGATTGCATGTTCAGATTCTTTGAGCCCAATCTTTTATCCTCTGAAGGACACACAATCGGCTTTGGGGCTGCCAAAGAAGGTTTAGGTGGGGGTTTGGGGGGGTCTCTAATCCCAAACTTGGTCCTTAGGAGGCTTAGGATCAGCACTGACCATTCAGGGAACCCACAGTGGCTTTGCCGGATGGGTTCTTTGGCGAGTTGGGGGGAGGATAATCTATAAGAGGAATGAAAAGGGGTGGGGACATCCATGAGCAAAATGTCAGGGGAGGAGGAGTTTTATCTGTTCAAGAACATCTCCCCAGTGGGACCATGGGATGGGCCTCAGTACCACATCGCCCCGGTCTGGGCCTTCCACCTCCAGGCAGCCTTCATGGGCTTTGTGTTCTTCGCAGGGACCCCACTGAATGCCACGGTGCTGGTGGCCACCCTGCGCTACAAGAAGCTGAGGCAGCCCCTCAACTATATTCTGGTCAACGTGTCCCTGGGCGGCTTCCTCTTCTGCATCTTCTCCGTCTTCACCGTCTTCATTGCCAGCTGCCAGGGATACTTCGTCTTCGGCCGCCATGTTTGTGCTCTGGAGGCCTTCCTGGGCTCTACAGCAGGTACTGCAGGGGGAGGGGGCTGGGGGAGACAGAGGACACCGAGCTTGGATTGGAACCAGGGACCAGCCCGCCCACCCAGAGTGCATCCCAAAAGAGGCATCTAGGGGAGTCTGGTGCTCTTCTGCATATTGGAATACAAAGCCTAGACTAGAAATCTGACCCACTGCATCCCAAATTCTACCCCAACCCTTAGTCCAACCCTGTCTCCCCGCGCTTGCCCCACTCTGTATTCCCCTCCGCCTGCCAGACTGGGTGGGCTGTCTGACCCATTACTTTTGTGTCTTACCACAGGTCTGGTAACGGGCTGGTCGCTGGCCTTCCTGGCCTTTGAACGCTACATTGTCGTCTGTAAGCCCTTCGGCAGCTTCCGCTTCAGCTCCAGGCACGCCCTGATGGTGGTCCTCGCCACCTGGACCATTGGCATTGGCGTCTCCATCCCACCTTTCTTCGGCTGGAGCCGGTGAGAGCCCAGGGCAGTGATGCTGACATAGCTAGGAGCTGAGGCTGGTGTGGGTGGAAAGAGTTGTGTATAAGCTTTTTTTATCTCTAATTTTTAAAGAACTGGTGGAGCAGGTGAGAGGAAGGGCTGTGGGAGATAAGTCCTAAAGTTTACTCTTCAGTTCAAATTGCTATGCCCTTCGCTGGTGAGGGCAGAAAATCCTTCCTGCCCAGGCACTGGGCATCCTCTGGGTTCTACATGGAGCACCCACTCCAGGAATCTCAGCTCCCACTCCATGTTCTTGTGGGGGGCCCCGCAGTGAGCCAGTGCTGGCCAGTGGGTGAGTGTGTGATCCCTACAGGTTCATCCCCGAGGGCCTGCAGTGTTCCTGTGGCCCCGACTGGTACACCGTGGGCACCAAATATCGCAGCGAGTACTACACCTGGTTCCTCTTCATCTTCTGCTTCATTGTGCCTCTTTCCCTCATCTGCTTCTCCTACGCTCAGTTGCTGGGGGCCCTTAGAGCTGTGAGTGGCTTTTGTGAGGGTCAGGGGGCTCCAGGTGAGAGGGAAGAGTGGGGGGAGTGTTCTAGAACATATCTGGAAATGCCATAGCCAGGTAGAAGGGATTTCTAAAAGGAGAAAACAAAAATCCCTAGCCAGTTTTGCTCGGTGGTTAGAGCATTGGCTTGCAGACTGAAGGGTCCTGGGTTCAATTCTGGTCAAGGGCACGAACCTCAGTTGCAGGCTCCTCCCCAGACCAGGCCCTGGTTGGGGCTCATACAGCAGGCAACCAATCGATGTGTTTCTCTCACATTGATATTTCTGTCTCTCCCTCTCTCTAAAAATCAATGGAAAAATATCCTCAGGTGAGAACTAAAAAAATAATAATAATAAAATAAAAGCAAAGAAGGAAGTGGGGAGAGGCAGAATGATGAAAAGGAATGGAGACTAAGGTGGAGTCACCTCTGCTCAAATATAGGTGTCAGGACATGCATGTGACCCTCCCAGTGTCACAGAGCCTTCCTCCTTCCTCAAGGATCAGGAGCGCCATGGGGACTAGGCCAGAAACTGGGGCAGAAGAGAGGCCACTGGAGCAGGTGCCACCCCTGGTAAAAAACAAACAAACAAACAAACAAACCCTCTGGAGACCTGGGAGTTGAGGGCTGGGAGAAGAGGATGTGGTGTTCTCTGTGCTCCCCCCAGGTTGCAGCCCAGCAGCAGGAGTCGGCTTCCACCCAGAAGGCTGAGCGGGAGGTGAGCCGCATGGTGGTGGTGATGGTGGGGTCCTTTTGTCTCTGTTATGTGCCCTATGCTGCGCTGGCCATGTACATGGTCAACAACCGTAACCACGGGCTAGACTTGCGGCTTGTCACCATCCCTGCCTTCTTCTCCAAGAGCGCATGCGTCTACAACCCCATCATCTACTGCTTCATGAATAAGCAGGTAAAGTTCCTCATTTACATTCCTGGGAGACCCTAGTGCATAGGACCTGGTTCTTGTCACCAACGACTTTTAAGTCGGAGTGCCTTCGACTGCACTCAGAGGTGACCAGGGGAAGCCACAGACACCCTCAGTGGCCTAGGAAGGCCGTCGTGAGCACAGGGTGAAGGTGTGGTCATGGAGACAGTATCATAGGACCCTGGGAAGACAGAACCTGAGCCGTGAGAACCGAGTTGCTCCAAAGGACAGGATAAGTGAAAAGGTTTTCTGTTTTATTGGAAAACTGACAGTTCCTTTACATTCTAGTCCGTCCAATTGAGTTCTTAATCCTTTCTTGTCCAACTTCTAGCCCGCAGGAGCATGTGGGGAGCACAGAAATCATGTGCATAAAAATCTAAAGCAGCTTATCAGCTGAAGGTCCCAGGTGGCCTATCCCTCAATTCCTAAATCTAAGCTAAAAAAAAAAAAAAAAAAAAAAAAAAGCAACAAAAAAAATTAAGACAAATCTAGGAGAGTTCCTGTCTTGAGAATTGTCATTTTATTTCTTTAATTCCTGAGATAGATTCAAAACGAATGTGAAATCTGGATGGGGACAACTGGCAGTCCTTTCCCCATCGGAAGGACCTTGTAGGAGTGGGGGAGGGTGGGTGGGTGGACCTGCTCTAGGGCTGCTTCTGACAGTGCTTCCAGGAGGCAGGCTAGTTTTTTTTTTTTTTTTCCCCAACAGTGAGTTAGCCAGAATGTGTAGGATTATGCAGACAAGCAGCAAGAAGTCTTGGACTGGAGTCTAAGCAGTCTCAGGTCTGGGAAGATATACTCAAAGCCACCAGAGGAGATCCTGGCTGGGCATTAGACATTATTCAAGGCATTATTTGGGGATTTAAGAGAAATTTCTTCCCATAGTTCCTGATGTTATCTCCTCTGTGCTGGTCTGCCAAGGGGGCTATCTTCAATTCTGCCCTCTCTCTCCAGTTCCGGGCTTGCATGATGGAGATGGTGTGTGGGAAGTCCATGACAGATGAGTCTGACATGTCCGGCTCCCAGAAAACAGAAGTTTCCACTCTCTCTCCTAGCCAAGTGGGCCCCAGCTAGGGTGCCATATTGGACTATTTGAAGCAATTTGGATTTTACATTTAAGGAAATTTCTACTTTCTCTGCTAAAATCCAAACTACTAACCTTGCCGGAAACATATGGGAAGGGGAGTGGTGACCATTTTGGGGGATCGATTTTCCATTTTCCTATTATTTCCCTTCTTACCTACAAAGCAACTGTTCCAGCTGGGTCCATCTCAGAACACATCAAAGGCCTTTGCAGCAATCATGTTTCTACTAAGTGGCAAGATTCACAGCACTTGCAGACTCATCTCTAAATACTACAACACATCTATAAAGGAGTATGGTTGAGCTCTCAGTGTATGAGTAACAATTATCTCCCTTTTTAGTAACATTATTTCCCTCCTGGGGTTCTGTTCTGAGATGATACATTCTGAGAAAACACCTTAGAAATAAGAGAGATTTAAAAGACAAATAAAACCTTTAGTAAGTCCCAAATATGAGTTTGAACAAATTTTTTTAAAATATATTTATTGATTTTAAATAGAAAGGAATTGAGAGGGATAGTTAGAAATGTTGATGAGAGAGAAACATCAACCAGCTGCCTCTTGCACAACCCCCACTGGGAACATGCCCACAACCAAGGCATATGCCCTTGACCGGATTCGAACCCGGGACCTTTCAGTCCGCAGCCCGACATTCTATCCACTGAGCCAAACCGGTTTTGGCTGAACAAAATTCTTTATGTTACATGGTATATGCTAGCATGGCTTACTCGTGTTTCCTTTCCCTCTCCCCACTTATTTGGCTAAACATATATATTTATCTTAGGTGTATTTTACTAAAGTTAACAGTTTAATTCACTTTATGTTCTCAAAATAAAATTGCACATCTTGGTATCATTTATAAACCACACCAAAATGTTCAAAAAACTGTCTTACCTTATACTTTATACTTCCTTTTTGAAAAAAGATTCTTTTTGAAACAAAAATCAAGATAAATGTGTGTATTCAGGTGTGGCTTGTTTGGAGTCAGATACATAGGCAATGAGCAGTTATACGGCAAAGGGAAGAGAGGATTACAACTGCAGCGAGGACACCAGGCTTCAGGAACAGGAAGAAAAGAGTAGCCATTGGGAAGAAGTCAGTTTCTTCTTTGGTTGAGGAGGGTACATAAACCTTCCAGGAGAGCTCCTTCTCTGACATTTTAGAGCACTCAATTCTGAGCAAGCATTCTATTTTTTAAGCGAATAAAGGCGACACATACTCCACAACGAATGTAAACAGTTTTATTTAGAAACAGATAGGTACCTGTTTGCATTATAGAATATAAAACTTGGTTTACACTCTATAAAAAATAACCAACATTCAAATTCAAGAGAGCTAGCACTCACAGGACATACAATATGGGTGTGCAGCGACTGTCCACCAGCCCCAGGCTTGATTTAAACAAACAACAACAAAAAAATAATCCAAGAGGACCATTGGAGATTTGAGTACAATGCTTGCTGCTGAGCAGCCAGCAGTTGCTGTCTCAGCAGCTGAAGGTTTGCTTTCTGTGTGACTGTAACATAGGCCTGGGGTCTCTGCCCTGTGAGCTGCGAGGCTCTCCTGCCAGTCCCGATGTGCTCTACCGAAGCCAGGATTGGTGGCACTATTAGTGATCTCTGGTCTTAACAAGAAAAATGGGGGATCTGGAAGGCAGAGAATTTCCATGCCCCTTATATGGGGATTAAACTTAAAAGAGTATATCTACTCTCAAGAGCTCAATGCAAAGGCTGGGGTGAAGTTACAGGATATCTGGCTTTTCACCAGGCCAAGTAGCCCACCTCAACATGATCACGGAAGACCAAAGGATACACCTAAGTTCAGGTTATAATAATCACCCAGCACCACCCAAATATTATCCAGAAAGATATGTGAAATAATAAAGGTTAGATATATATATATATATTTATCTTAGTAACCTGAGGGCTAAAAACTTGGAATACAATAAATTCTCTCAAGAGGTCCATCTGCTAGAAGGGACCAAAAAGACAGTTGGTGTTATGTAAAACAGGGTAGAGTGAGTGGGAAACAGGGGCCGGCTTCTTCAGCTCTTTCTACAAGGTCTCTCTGATAAGGACTGGCAATCTGTTGATCCAAGATAAGCTTTTCGTTTGGCGGCGGGTGGGGGGGGAATAGGGAGTGATTGGTGAGAGGCAGGAAGGGTAAGCAACGGTCCTCAAACCCAAGAGCCCTCTCTGCAGGCCTCTCAGCTTCGAGTCTGACTCAAGCTCTCTAGTTGACACAGACACGGCCTGGTGGTAAGTGGTTAGCATTCTGAGGTATGAGGATCTCTGGTAAATTCAGCAGCATGTGGTTTTTAGAAACCGGCCCACAAAATAAAAACACTGCAACACTAATACTGCTATTTAACCACTGTCTGAAAGAGAAGAAGAAGAAAAAAATCCCCACTACATTGGGGGGCTCTAAGCTTTCATATAAGGTGGTCCAAACAATCTTCTCTTTATCTTAGGGTTTCTTAAGAAAGTCCTCATTCAGTGATCCTTTCTCTTGTTAAAGGCACTTTCAATGACATGATTGGAAAGCAGCACATTTTAACTGCAGTGAAAGCAAAATTAACTCCTGGGAACATCTGGGGAAACAGGAGCCAAATGGGGCACTTACAGTGATTCAATAGGCAAGACAGTCCCGAGCACTTCGACAGATGCACTTGCAGACAAAACCGTGTGCCCTAAAAACACTTGTATTTGTCCTTTAGTTTTCCAGTTCCTATTTATAGCTCTGCAAAAAGATCACATTCGTACTCTTCCTACCACACCTGTGCTTGACAAAATTAGCAAACAGCTAGTCATACAGGGAAGGAAAAAAAAAGGATGAATAAAATCAAATTGAGCCAAGTTTTCTTACAGCACAGGAATTTGTCCTTGCCCAGATAATGCCACAAACAGTTGCTGGACCTGTAGCAACTGAATAAAACATATGGCCCCTTCTATTGATGAAATACACCTTCCAATAGGGAAGATTATCATCTTTCTAGATATAAAGAGTGGGGTATATTTTTTCTTTTTCCTCTCTTCCAAACATTTCTTAATAATCTCAGGCTTAAAAAATTAGTTAAGTCAGAATTATAAAAATTACATGGTAAGAGTTGAGAAAGAGTGAAGGGTAATTTTTGCCTATGAGTTGAGGATCTTAATCCTGCATATCATACTCCCAATCAAAGAACAAATACAAAAATAAAACACCATGTTATACATAATACAAAGTGTAAATCTACAAACACAAGTGTACTAATTAGTTGTTCCTCAGAAGCAGTTTTCCTCCTGTCCCTTAGAAAGAAGAAGGAATGGGGACGGGATGGTTTTCGTTATGTTTTCTCATGTCTTAAAAAGTTTGTAATAACAGTCTCAGTAGCGCAAACAATTTCATGTGAAACCAGAAGCTGTAAAAATAAATTATTTTTTGAAGAAACGTGGGTTCCTCTGTCTGCAGCTCAGAACTCATCGTGCCGGACTAAGGCTTCACCAAAATCTGTGGCCTGGCTGCCCACAAACAAATCGTACTTGTCAACAATCTCCTCCTTGGTGAGCTTGCCATCCTGAAATCAGAGAACAGTGAATTGAGGCAGATATATTTCCCATCCTAAATTTAGAAACACTACTCTAGAAGAATCAATAGTGGTTTGGCAAGATTTAAGATCCTAATTCCCAGTGAATGATATGTGAACTATACCTTCCGCCCCGACCTGTGCACACACACGAACAATACCTTTTTCTTATCAAGAAAGTTAAAAGTGGAAGGCTAGAAATAGTAAAGCTCAATAACTCAGCGCTAGAGATAAGGGTAGACAGTAAAGAACTGGGTGAAATACTTCAAGCAGTCCGCACCTCCATTATGTTCCAGCTACCAATCAGATTCCAGACACAACCCCAAACGAAGGCTCAGATACCATCTAAAAAATTATCTAGGCCACATTCCCAAGGGATGATTGCATGAGTTCCTTTTTCTTAAAAACCTCACAGGTCACAGCACCTGGCTACTGAAGTGACTGAGAAGACCTCAAAACAGACTGACCCTTAAAAATGCTTCATGACAAGAAACTGCTTTTGAAACTGAAGATTAGCCTAGATAAAAAGAATGTTCAGATACTAAAAATCCCTAAATTTAGATAAGTAACACCACTCTTTTAATGAACCAAATACCTCAGATAATTGATTAAGGACAACATTAACAGGCTCCAGAAAAAGTTTACTTATAACATATTACTAAGAACTTAATTCTAAAAAGCATCTTTGATTTAAGAAGGAAATAACCAGCTTTGAGTAGGCAAAATGAATCTGTAACTGGTAAAAGAACAAAGTGAAAAGGAAAGATTCCTGGGGACCCAGAGAGCAGATGATACACGCTGGCAGAGGCTATACACGGAGGTTCTCTTCTGAAGCTAAACGCCTCCAATGCTATGTACACTGGGCAAAGGGACTTCTAAAATGAGATCAGATAGCTAGTGCTGCCCTGTAAGCTTTTAATTACCAACTTAGATTAATTAAGACTGCAAATGCTTTATGGACCTTAATCGGGATTTTTTAGTCAATCCCCTATAAATAGACTTCCATCACTGCTAGATTGTTGGGGCCTGGCCAGACTTACCTTATTTTGGTCTGACTCATAGACTAGGTGCCTGGCTTCTGCTTCTGCATGATCATAATCTGAAGGGAGAATCCAGTCTTTGGTCTCTTCCTTGTCCATCTTTCCATCTCGGTTCTTATCTCGAAACTCAACAAATTGTTCTCTCTCTGTCTTTACCCATTCTGGTTCATCAGCATTTCCATCATGGCTGTACATGTCACCTATGTGCACAGACATACATAGAAAAGACGGGTTTGCCTTTTTCCCACAACTGCTCCATGCTAATGTGGAAGCTAACAGCAGTATTTTAGAGAACTTAGAAAACAAGGTATTTTCCTGAATCTTAAGTGACTTTGCAACAAGAATATTTCCAATTATTGAGTGATATGAAAGCAAAGAGTCCTTATCTTAAAAACAAAATAAACAAAAAAACATTGCCTAGCCCAGTGGTTGGCAAATTCATTAGTCAGCAGAGCCAAATATCAACAGTACAACGACTGAAATTTCTTTTGAGAGCTGAAAAACGACTTCTGCGCATGTGCCACAGTTTCAATCGCACTGTACGTGCACGCCCACACGGTGGTATTTTGTGGAAGAGCCACACTCAAGGGGCCAAAGAGCCGCATGTGGCTCGCGAGCCGCAGTTTGACGACCACTGGCCTAGTCGTATGGCTCAGTAGTTGAGCACTGATCTATGAACTAGGTCACGGTTCCATTCCCAGTCAAGGCACATGCCTGGGTTGTGGGCTCAGTTCCCCAGTGGGGAAACGGGCTCAGTAAATGCACAGAGGCATTTATTTCCACTGTGCGGATGTTTCTCTCTCTCCTCTCTCTCACTCTTCTCCCTTCTTCTCTGAAAGCAATAAAAACAT